ATTATGACCTGACTGATACCGGGTCACCTCTTATGGTAAAAAAATGAACACGAAATTAAGGGTGCAGTAGGTTTAAAACGTGTTTGTGTGTGCAGTTCCTGTAATACGAGGTGGATAATTGCAAAACTTTCTAACCCACATTTAAAAAAAAAAATGATTCACTTAACTGGGTTGTACAATATCGATATAGAGTGGTTAATGTTTTTTTATGAATCAGATGCTTCATTTAAGACTAAAATGTAACCATGAAAAATTTTAATTTTAATTTGTTTACGTAGTGTTAATTTTAACAATAAAATATATCTGTCAAAATGAAACAGAAGTTAAGTTGCCGGTTTCACCAGCGGCCTCCTCATACCGTGCTCTCTGCAAGATCCAAGCCTGCAAGAACGGGAATTCCCGTAACCTTACCTCCTTTCACTGGAAATCACTGCTATAATTAGAAGGGAAAAAGTGCATGCACTTTGCATTGACTCACCTTCTAAGAATGGTACAAACATTTTCAGTTTGTAACACATGCTATTTCAATAAGGAAACTGTGCATACACGTTGCAATGGCACATCTTCCAAGAACTGTACACACCTTTTACATTTCAAACATATTCTACTTCAACGTGGTACCGTGTACCTATTTTTGCGGTGACGTAATATTCCAAGAATTGAATACAGACTTTCAGTTTTTTTATTAGCACATACATTTTAAAACTAAGAACTGTTCATTTTACCACTGCTTATAAAGTTTCTATGAGACAACAAGTGGATTATTAAATTGATTCGATAAATGACGTAAGTAGATACATGTTGTTTCGGGTGAACACATTCATACTGAATTTACCTATAATACAGGTGTGCTCTATTCGAGAGCTTAAAGACGTAAATTTTACATCAAAAATGCCTAAGTCGACAAATTATTTTGATGTTTTTAACAACTTTCATCAAATGCTAACTAAAGAGAATATAGTTTTTAGGTACAGGTGGTAAGGTTAGTTAAGTTACACATGTGCACGTGTGTTATTTTTCGCTAGTTTCTTGCCTGCTGGTGTTTGTGTATAAAATAGTTTTCATGTATGCTGTATTAGTATTTCATATACTATTGATCGATTAAGAGGAAGACACTTATTGTAATGCAAAAGAAGATCGAAACAAACAAAGCATACGTAATGCAGCCTATAGTTCTTGTGAAATTAATGCAGCGGTTCTCACCCTGTGGGTCGCAATTCCTTTTGGGTGATGAACGACCCTTACACAGGCGGCACATCAGACTATCGGAAAGTAACTATCTATGAAGTAAATTCGAACATATTTTTATTTTTATTTTTTTTTTTATGGGGGGGGGGGGTAAACAGAACATGAGGAACTGAATTAAAGGGGTCGCGGCATTAGGAAGGTTGAAACATTTACTCAGTCATAGCGATTGAGTCGAATGTAAATAATCAAATCATGACAAAAGTACGGGCTAAGGGAATCAGATGCCAACTAATTAAACACAAGCTTATCGATAAGCCAATTCCAGGCCCTAGTTGCCGCTTAATCTGAATGATGTGGATGGTGGTGGGAAAGCCAAAGAAAGTTAATGACTCTAAACGATTGTTTGCTCAAGGTGATTAAAAACGCTTTCGGCGTTGCAATTACAAAAGAAGACATTCTTAACCAACCGCTCATTGAACAACTTACTCCTGTCATGTCAAACAGAAAGGCACAGGAAGGTATGCAGTGGAGAGATGAAAGGGTTTCGAATATTCACAGTGCATCCTCTCAAGGGCGCCCGCTGAAAACTTTCTAAGGGGGAGGGGGGGGCAAACAAAATCTATTAACTTTCCAGGGGGGGGGCAAAAAATTTTTAGTAATGTTTTAATATAGTTTTAATTTACTGTAGCGTATTTGTATTGGGGGGGCAAAAAATTTTTAGTAATGTTTTAATATAGTTTTAATTTACTGTAGCGTATTTGTATGGTGAACGAACGGACAGGACATCAGCTTAGTTACTTTCTCTTTATTTTCTCTTTACTTTAATACATCTTTGTCTATTTTTGTCTAAAAAATTTTTATCCAATCAATCCAAGGGGAGGGGGGCAAATGCCCCCCTCCCCCCCTATCTGCGGGCGCCCATGCATCCTCTAATTTGATGGTCATTCGTTTCGTACAGTCCTTACACACATTATTTTTTGTATTAAATGACCGTGTCCATAGTTTACACACGCAACTTTTTTGTGTTGCCCGAGCTGTTGCTATAATCATTATGAACACAGGACCACGTGTAAAAGACCAACATCTGCTAGATGCAAGACACACACGACCAACACATGCTAGATATAAGACACACAAGAACAAAACATGCTAAATGTAAGACTAACACATGCCGGATGTAAGACACACAGGACTAACACACGCTAGATATTAGAGCCACATTGGTAAATAATACAAAGAGTGAAAAAAATGTTCTTCTTTACTGCTTTATTGAATCTCGCTAAAAATACATAAAAGAAGGACAACTCCAGTGATTTAATACTTTGTTGCTATTGTTAAATAATGATAGACGTAAGTTAGGACTCGCCGGGACGCATTGAGAGGCATCTGTAGCAATCCACGTATGACGCATAAAGTCACTACGGGTACCATTGTTAATAAGTAAATTTATTTATTTCTTGTAAAAAGTGTTGTCGAAATTGTATTGTTCTTAGTAGTAGTCTTCTCTTACACAGCCCTATTTAAATGTTATGTTTTCATTCAGTTACGGTAGCACTGAATATTTAAGAAACTTGGATCAAAGTCAAATGTGTCAGAATATCCCCGCGGAAATCAAATATAACATCATTTATTACAGCCATAAATATTGAATGTGTTATATTGACATGAAAAGAAATTTTTTTTTTTTTATTATACTTGGCAAGTAATAAATCGCAAAAAAAATGACGGCGGCAATACACGAAGTTCCCATCTACTGGAGACACTTGATAACCAAACATTTAAGTAAATCATTTCATTAGAATCCCAATTTATGCTGGGAAAATTTGATTTGACGCGCCCATTGACAGCGATGCTGTTGTTCACCCGTAGCACGGGGAGATAATAATAATAAAATGATAATTAAGTCCATTTCAAAAACACGCTTCATCCCCAAAAGGCTCGAAGTGTGGTACAAAGTCAACAAAAAAACATATCTATAATTCACCACATTTAAAACAAACGCAACACTACAAAAACTAATTACAAGCATACAATGGCAAAGTCTTTCTAGCCTTTTCAACCATAAGCAACACAGCCATTATGCATTAACTGACCAAGGCAATTTTCGACTCGAGGAACAGCTTTAACGCCAGCTGCATTTTTTTTAAGGTGATGCAGAATAGCTCAATTCGTCAGCCTGACTCTCTCGTCCTAGTCTAGATGATTCGATGGCAGAGATTCAGTCAAGATGAAAGGGAATAGACCAGGAAGAATTATATGACCATCAGTCTGTGTACGCGTGTGTGTGTCATGGGCGCCCGCAGGTAGGGGCAAGGGGGTACTTGCCCCCCCCTGGATTGATTGGATAAAAAAAAAATTAGACAAAAATAGACCAAAAATTTATTAAAGTAAAGAGAAAATAAAGAGAAAGTAACTAAGCTGATGTCCTGTTCGTTCGTTCACCATACAAATACGCTACAGTAAATTAAAACTATATTAAAACATTACTAAGAATTTCCCCCCCCCTGGAAAGTTAATCGATTTTCTTTGCCCCCCCCCTAGAAAGTTTTCTGCGGGCACCCATGGTGTGTGTGTTTGACTTTATGCGTTCTAAGTCGCAGGACTTGTGGAAATTTTCAATGTTTCAATGACATACCACATTCGGGAACCCAGCGCCAGGTTTCATTTGAGAGTGTTTTTTATCTTGAATATTTAGTGTTTAAGGTTAAAAAATAAGATCAGGCCGGGGGGAGGCGGTGATATTTTATCTTATCTGGGGTTTTCTGGGTAATAAGCTCCAGTCCACTACCTTAGATAGCAAGACCATCGAATAGAGTTACAGATATATATATATTTACATACATAATTATTTATAATGATCAATATCATTCTTAAATATAAAATGATTACTTTTAAATATTTTATATTCAACCGATTGATCTTTTAAAACGTATACATAACATTTTTAATAACCTTAAATATAAATGAAATTGAATATAATACTTCCTTGAAAAGTTTTTAATGAAATTTTTTTTTTATATCACCAGCTCCTGATTTTGCTTGCACACATTTACAGTACTTGATAGCAGTGAATCATTTTAAGATGCTTCTAAATTAGAAGTAGACGTCCTCCGATGGAAGTACAAAAAACGGATGCCGCCAAAGTCGGTGCTGAACATAAATCTACGCAGACAGTAACAACTGATTTTGAAGGGTCATCACACATAGATGCTCAAGACACAACTCTGAGTGATGCTAAAGAATCTGCACTACCAGATACAAATGATAAAGAAGGAATTAGAAGAAGTCAACAAAAAATAAAGCCAGCATCAATTAGGCACAAAAGTCAACCAGATCACATTACATTTGAACGACATAAACAGAGGATGGGGCAATTTGGTCCCGACGACCAAGGAACTGATTGTTGCGATGGACACCAGTTTACGAAAACCGAAGATGTTAATAATTTCTTTTTGAATTATTTATTATTCAACTTGCAACACATCGAGGCAATGTTCTCAGCTCACTCAGCCCTCGGTAGCGTTTCCTGGACGCAATTCTACCAGCCGCTTTTCAATTACTGGTTTCATCAAGTCATCTTCCGTCATCCATTCAACGAGCCTCCTTTTTGCCCTAGGCTGGTTTCTTTTGTCGACATGATTTGCATCCCTTTTCACCGGGTAAACACGTCCCACGAAGCTGTGGAATCTCGCTTTGGAAGACCAAACGAAAAGTTATGGTTTCACGGAACAGCATCATTCGAGTCAGCATTTTCTATACTCAATGAAGGAGTTAGAGTTGATGTTGGCAGGAGAAGGAATGACTTCTCGGTCGGGGAAGGATTCTACGTGTCCGATGACTTTGACGCAGCTTGCTGCTGGGCTAAAAGAAAGAAAGAATGTGGCCATGCAGTTTTAGTATTTCGATTACAAGAACAAAGTTTTTCAAATTGTTTTTTGGACCTAAATAGAAATAAAACCTTTTGGAGAAAAGTCGTTCGATTTAATCGATCAGGTTATAAAAAAGAAGTGGACCTAAATGAAGGTATTTCACAGGGTAATATGGGGAAGAAAAACTCAGCAACACTAAAGAATTTACACTTCAATGAAATAGATTTTATTAAAGGGCCAATTTGTTATGACGTACCAAAAATACTAGATGACAACTGTACTGAACCCCCAATCCTTATGACAAACAGATCCGGTAGAGTAATACAACAACTTTGTATAAGAACCCATAGCTATGCTCAGGTCTTTGGATCCCTTGCTAATATATGCGCAGTTATCTGGTTTCTTCCAGGCCCACAATAGAGTAGTAATTTGTTTTTATAAGTTTACTTTTTCAGCACATCAATCAAAGTGTTGAGACGGGGTGGGGGCAAACAATCTAAGAGAAAGTTAAATTATCACTTGTATGTTTAATGTCAATTAAGTTTACTATTTTGTTAATGGATGACACGTTTTCTACACAGATGGTGAATTCTAATAATACCCAGCTAACTGTTATGATTTAAATAGAAGAAATAAAGACGACATTGTTTATATGATTAGTTTAGACGCAAGCGTAATATCATAGGAAATATTCCTTCACTGCTTAGTTGTTGTTGTTTTTTAAAGCTTAAGACGCTGCATTCTAATCCAAAAGGTATTTAAAAGATTAATGTTTACCTGATAAAACATAAAAACAAAGAGAAAAAAAATCATTTTTAAAGGTAGATCTAACTTTCATAAGTTAAAAAAAATTTGTTAAGTGCAATGATAAAATAGGGCGATCTAATATTTAATACAAAAGTAGTTTCCAGAGGGGAAATAAACGGAATAAATGATCAAATAATTATTATTTTATGCTTTGGACAATAATAACCTTATGTAAAAGTGTTGGTAAATTACCATTTATGACCTTTTTGGGATTTCGTCTACTATCAACAGTTTTTCCCATTTGAATGTTTGAGAAATATAAATCACATAGGCATATGATACACCCTATGGATACATGTATTCCCTCATATGATTTATGAATTCACTGTGTTATTCATTTCCGTGCCTTATATTACATTGTTGTATTATATTATTTTGCTTAATTTTTTTAAAATGTATTTTATGTTTGAATAGTGATAGAGACTTTCAGTGATCATATCACACCAAATGATGGTGGCCCTGTCACTGGGATTGATAAACATTAAGATTTATTATTCGTCGTACTCCACAAATACGGGGCATGGCCCAAAATGTCAAAGTCAGAAAATAAAATTAGTATTTATCATGTTTTTTTAATCTTATATGTTTACATATTCCTATCATAAGTGATAATATACAAATGATTCTCTGCATGCCATTTAAAGCAATTTTTCATGTCCCTTTTCATGTCACTGTTCATGTCACTTTTCATGTCCCTTTTCATGTCACTTTTCATGTCACTTTTCATGTCACTTTTCATGTCCCTTTTCATGTCACTTTTCATGCCACTGTTCCTATCACTCTTCCTGTCGCTTTTTATGTCACTCTTATGTCCTTTTTAATGTAACTTTTCATTTAATTTTTACGTCACCTTTTGTGTCACGTTTATGTCTCTTTTCATATCATTTTTTATGTCACGGTTCATCTCAATTTTATGTCACTCTTCAATTACTTGTCAAGTCACTTTTATGTCACTCTTCATTTCATGTCATATTTCATGTTACTTTTCGTTCGCTTTTCATGTCATTTTCATGTCATTTTTCATGTCATTTTTCATACAACTTTTTTATGTCACTTTGCATATCTATTTGTATGTCGCTTCCCTTGTCACGTTTCTTGGCACTTTTATTACGTAATCTATTTTTAACGCCACTGAAATTTAAGTGAACGTATTTTTCAGGACATTATTTTTCATTTTTAAATACTTTGAACGTGTTCCAATAATTAGTAGCTACAACCTTTTTGCAGTAATATAACATTAATTGACGAAAGATTAAGTATATGATCTTACGTCCATTTAACATACAGTCAAAGAGTTGATATCATCATTAATGTTACTGAAATTATTACGTCTGATGTTAATTTCGAGAATGAGGTAACTGACAAATCATTTTTTGATTGAAATGTTGAGCTCCTAATGTGTTTCCAGAAATCTATATTTGACCACAACTTCCACTTAAATGATTATAAAAATACCACACTACCTTTATGTGATAATAGGTGGGCTATGAGTGTGTGTCTCTCTCTTTTTTAAATGGGGTCAGAAAAGTATAAAGAGCAATTATATCGCGCTTATTTTGTTTCGCTTTATATTTGTTGTATGTCTCATAACCACATATGGCCTTAAGTTAACGTTTGTCCACACCAAATACATTGCCTGATATGTTTGTTTTTTATTCACCGTTACTCATAAACTGCATGCTTGCACTTACACCACGCTGTCACACTTGTTGTCCATTGTTACCACTGTCGTGTCACATCTACGCTAACACATAGCTGAAAGAAATAATTTTACCAAAAAATTTAGTGTCATTCTACCCTAATACATTGTGTAACCTACAACATTTACACATCGCCGTGACACTTACACTTACATACCAAGCTGTGTTTCATTCATTTCCCTGTTGCTTACACTTCCCGGATGCAGTAACATTTTAATGTTGCACCAACAACTAACATTACACTATCACACTTCTGTTACAATTTAACTTCGCTGTAGACTCTAGAGACCTTCCGACTTACCCGGAAATGCGATGAGTCTGTGATAAACTAATTTATTTCCTTGTCTGTACAAGTGGTAATTTATGAAAACAATAATGATGCCGCAATCGCAAAGCGAAATCTAACACTGGCTCCACTCTGATAATCTGCAAATTGTAAAATATCAGTGTGACGACATGCTGATTTTTCTCAGCTGTGTAAGACATATTAATTACAATCTGTATAGTAGACGTTTAACTATGTATTAAAAGTTGTTTTTTTAATGTCTTTTTCTAAATAAATATAACTATTTTATTGATGGCAAAAATAACTCTAAACAGCATTGAGCTTATGCAGCTTTGCTTCAATCCATGAGTAATAATGTATACAGTTTATTTAATAATGTTTGTTTTTTTCAATAAAGGCACTAAAAACAATATTAATAATTGCATTTGACATTTTGAATTCTCTTATTTTACCTAAATAAAAAAAAATCATATTTATAAGTAACTATAACTTCATAACAGTATAACACGTCAACAGTGTCATAGCTATAAAAGAAAGGTCGTCATATTGCATAGTTATGGTATATGGAAATTGTTCTGGGGAAAAAATGAAACAGCCGGGTAGATGCTTTTTTAAAAATGTTTCTAAGCAATGCAAGTTTATACATCTAGCATATATAAGACATTCAAATTTAGACATACAATGAAAAATTATTTTTAAAAAAATACAATGTATAGAATATATATATATATATATATTCCTAACAGTGTGGTGTAGAAAAAAAAGCTAGTACACCCTAATACATGAACACAAAACAATGAACTGAAACTGTCACTTCAAATACAGCCGTTGTGGTTAAAACCATGGCACCCAGGTGCTACTGTAATTTTACTTCATTTTGCATCTGTGTCAATATTCAAGGATCTTTGTTCAAACCTGTCGGCACCATAAATAAAGAACAAAAAAAAAAGAAAGTTAGAATGTAGAAGCTCTGCATAGCGTCAAATGTGGTTCAACAGAGTTGTAATGGCCAGGATGAGCAGGGGGGAGAAATGTGTTTATGAAAAAAAGTCGATTTTCGTATGCAAAAAAATTATTATTTTTTCTTCTCTAAAAATCATTAACATTTCAAGCCTATGATTAGCGTTTTGTTAAATCTATAATTTATTATGATGTGTTTATTTTTGGTTTTGTTCTTGCATTTTACAGTTACGTTTGTGTCCGTTTGCATGTCTGTGTTAAATCTCGCCACTCAATATTTACCTCCTTCCGGGTAACCCATGGAGCTTAACGTTTGCACACTTAAACATTCCCGACGACAACACACCACTTTATGAATCAGTAGGTCACCAGTGACCTCAACTGACCCTTGAGTGACTTCTGCGTATCAAATCGTTTATCTCAAGTTTGAGCTACTTCCTGAACTCCAACTGAGCTGAATCAAAGACTGTTGAGTTTGTAGGTGTTTCTTGCTTTTAAAGTCACATGACTGAACATAATATTACGTTTTGGGGGAAATTTATTTATTTATTTTTCGTAATTGTTATTCATTATTTTCAATACATTTTAAAAACAATTTATGAAAAAAATTAGAAGCGTTTTGAACCGACACAACCACTTATTTTGCAGCCACCAGGAACACACAACTTTTACTGCAACAAGTCTATGTTAACGTGTATAATAAATCAGTGCTAAAGGGAGATAATGTGAATGTGGCAGAGCGCCGGCGGCTTAAGCAAGTGTTGAAGAGACTGTGATTGAAGGACATGTTACTGAAGTGCTCCTTGAAAGCCACTTGAACATTTTTTGACAAGCTGGACGAGTTAAAAATTGAAACCAGACCCTATAGAATGAGAGGAAGCGTCAAATGATGCAGCCTTTTCATAATGATGCCTATTAATTTCTTTAGATCCGCGAATAACATAATGTGATATGTATTTGAATAGAGTTAAATATAATTTTCTGACCTAAGATTCGCCGTCAAGAATAAACTTAAGGTTATTACCCAATAATGGTTAGAGTTTGACAATACTCGTATAATGTTAAAGTTCTGTGATGGTCTCATGTATCTTGTTCAGCGTAGGTGTGGAGAATGTCATCTCATCCACTTAAATGAAAGAGAAAAAGTTTTATAATAACTTCGTGTGGAGTTCTTGAATTTAAAGGCAATGGATATAAAATATGCGCAATGGATGTGCTTAAGGATTTTCTTTTACATCTGCTGTGTCAGGGCAGGTAGGACGCTTTACATATTGTTACTATGAAAACTCAGTTAGAGCTAAAATGAAAAAATAGTGGATTTACTGTAACTCAATATTCTCGTTGTGCTTCAAAGGTGCTTGTTCACAGTAAAATAATTTGATTGTAATTTACATATAATTGTTTAGAAATTGCTTTGATTAATATACGGTTGGCATATAAGATAAAACAACATCTGATTACGAGTATGGGCAAGTGGGAGTTAGTTTCTTATAAAATTTAAAGCCTATTGTGTGTCCTTAAAAGTACATTCAGATCAGGAATATAAGTTTAGCAAATTCGAAAAAAATAACAACACACGTGTTTTGTGCTATTCTGTTTCTAGTGTGTGAGCACCGCGGATGGTTTGGATCCCAGTGTCAGTACAAATGTCACTGTCAAAACAAGAGTTGCGACACTAACGGATTTTGTGACAATGGTGTCAAGTGCGAGAAAGGATGGTTTGGGCCACAATGTCAATATCGTAAGTATTTACTGAGCAAAATTATGCACATGTTCTCATAATTATTTTCTGTAAGCGTCCAAATTGGACAAGTGTAACACACGATCTGAGTGTCACTGTTGAGCGTAAATCCCAGGGCTATAATGTAACATATACAGAGCCACTGCTATAATTCTCATCATTCTAGTTATGCGTGCCAACCCCCCACCCCCCCAAAAAAAAACAAAAAAAAAAAACAAACAAACTCTTACTTTCAAATTAACATGGCTTTGAAACCAATAAACAACAAGAGATTGCTTTTATTGTGTTTGATTTCAAAGTACTGGTATGCACTGGGTCGCATACAGACGTGTCTTTTACGATTGTAGAATCTTAAAAATATCATTACAGCAAGTGTACTGCGGTGTCGTCAAGTTGTGCATGGATCAACGGGTGGTGAATTACAACTGTAACACCAAGTAACTAGTAGTGTAGGTTAAATCAATCATTGAGTACTTTATGGTCTCTGTGCTTAATATAGCATAGGAACGAGATATTTGCAGACACAAATATATTGTTTAAGTAAAACAGTGCTTGGGGCCATCGCATCATATACATGCGAAAGAACAAAAAAAAATGTACTTTTCAAATAAGCAATTTCCCGCAATATAACTTCTGTATGTGCGAAATGGTATTAAGGAATTATTTATATGTCCTTTGGATCTACAATTCAAATATATCATCTTTGCTGCTCAACTTTATTATTGTTATGAAAAATGTGTTCAGTGTAAGTGATGTGATGTTTTTCCTACTTTGAATAAATTGTAAAATACTGAGTAATCTCACATGTTTATTTAATCATTGTTTTTTTGGGGGGATAAACTCTAAATCATTTGTTATACATAGTTATCCAACCTGTCAATTGCTAGTTACGTATACTTAATTTCCGGTCACTCTTAAAACGTGTAGGCTACTTTACATTTTTACATTTAATTGTGATCCCTTTTCTTGAGCTTTTTCTTCTGTGCGGTGTTTTCTCTTTCTATTTCTAGTTGCCATACTCTCAGAACAAAGAGAAAAGCTGTAAATCTAAAGACCTAATTTCTAAATTTAAAACTATTTGCCACTAAATAATCCCCCACTTGGCACACATCTATCTATATATATAATTCCCCAGCAAAGGTCAAACAAGACGGGTCAAACACCATGTAGGCTATTTATAGATACGCCAGAGTGTGGTCCAATAATGAGTTCAGCAGCGCGTAAAATATAATTCCCGATAACTACGCAAAATGATATATAAACTTTTAAATACAGTAACGCAATTGCGTTTTGTGCGTAATCTTTTCTTTTCGGCAATGAAATCGTCTCAATTTAAGTATTGTGTAAAAAATATTCGGTTTAAAAGTGGTTGGGACATGAGCATATTAATATAGTTTATGGGCGTGAAATAAAAAGTGTGCATTGCATGACGTATCATGGGGGAGGGGTGTAGCAAATATTGGGATTCTTAAATGTGCGTTACGTGTGTTCATGTTTTGTCAAGTAACTTTACTACATGGGAAGTTCACGCATGTACGCTATATATGATAAATATATTTTTTAATAACGCTATTTCGTTTGGCGCGTAATATTTTCTTTTTGGAAATGAAATCGTCTCAATTGAAGTATTTTGTAAAACATATTCGGTTTAAAAGGGGTAGGGACCAATGTCCCCTCTAAGGTTTGTTAGTTCGTGTGCAAAATCATAAAGTTGTGTGCAAATTTTTACAGCATCAATTTGTTTGTGCTCAAAATTTTCAGCCTAAAGACACTTAAGAGGAAATTAGATGCACGGTACTCAAAACTCCCACAGCCGCGCAGCTTAAAGAGAACATTGGTTGGGACATGAGAATATTAATATAGCTCATGAGCAATTCTGCAACGTATGCTTCGTCGCGGGTCGACTAGTATATATATAAATGTCTGATATTGCAAAATATAAAAAAACTTTTTAGCCTCATTAGTTTGGATTCAGACCTTGTCATTTCTTAAATGAATTGCCGTCCAAGGCTAACGGGTCCCATCACCCTTGGGATGTTGGCTTTGGGGATTGAACTCCAGACCGCTCAACCACCAGGCACCCAGCATAATGTAATATGACTCTAACATACGATTCAAGAAAAATTCTTACATAGAAAACATTATGTATAACTCACTTTGTGCTTTAAGTGAGATACAATTTTTTTTATTCGTATTAGATTTTACTTTGTTTCACGTAATGTCAATCTTAATATAAATGTATATTTAAAATATTTTTTTTTCATTCCCGTTCTTGACAATGTAGTTGCTTTGATCGGTTTTTTATGTTTTTGTTATATTTTTATTTTTGTTTCATTTCTGTTTTTCTTTTAAATTTATTCTTATTTAAAGTAGCATTAGTAAATAAAGAAATGTATGTTTTATATATACTTGAACAGAGGATTTAACAGTGAATGCTACGTTTACACCTGAAAGACTTGAATCCATTCTTAGTGACGGTGATGATACAACATGTAATGAACGACCAACAGATAACTCTGTTTCAGTTGAACTACGAAATGCTTCATTGATCACATGGATACGGTTGAGCTACAACGATTCAGGTAAGTGCAACTGGAATACGTTTGGTTATATTGTAGCTGTCCTGCTTTTTGTTATATTGTAACTGTCATGATTTTGATTATATTGTAACTGTCATGAGTTTGATTATATTGTAACTGTCATGAGTTTGATTATATTGTAACTGTAATGGTTTTGGTTATATTATAACTATCATGCTTTTTTGGCACATTGTAACTGTCGTGCTTTTCGTTATAATGTAACTTTAAGCTTTTGGGTATGTTGTAACTGCCATGTTTTAGTTATATTGTAGCTGTCATGCTTTTAGTTATATTGTAACTATCGTGCTTTTGGTTATATTGTAACTGTCAGACTTTTGGTTATATGATAACTGCCATTCTTTTGGTATATTGTGACTATCATGCTTTTGGTTATATTGTAACTGTCACGATTTTAGTTATATTGCAACTGTCATGTTTTTTGGTATATTGTAACTGTCATGCTTTTAGTTATATTGTAACTGCCATGCTTTATTGTACATTGTAACTGTCATGCTTTTGGTTATATTGTAACTCTTAGGTTTTTGGATATATTGTAACTGTCATGCTTTTGGTTATATTGTAACTGTCATGCTTTTGGTTATATTGTAACTGTCTTGCTTTTGGTTATAATGTAACTGTCTTGCTTTTGGTTATAATGTAACTGTCATGCTTTTGGTTATAATGTAACTGTCATGCTTTTGGTTATATTGTAACTGTCACGATTTTAGTTATATTGCAACTGTCATGCTTTTTGGTATATTGTAACTGTCATGCTTTTAGTTATATTGTAACTGCCATGCTTTATTGTACATTGTAACTGTCATGCTTTTGGTTATATTGTAACTCTTAGGTTTTTGGATATATTGTAACTGTCATGCTTTTGGTTATATTGTAACTGTCATGCTTTTGGTTATATTGTAACTGTCTTGCTTTTGGATATAATGTAACGGTCATGCCTTTGGTTATATTGTAACTGTCTTGCTTTTGGATATATTGTAACTGTCATGCTTTTGGTTATATTGTAACTGTCATGCTTTTGGTTATATTGTAACTGTCTTGCTTTTGGTTATAATGTAACGGTCAAGCTTTTGGTTATATTGTAACTGTCTTACTTTTGTTTATAGTGATTGTAACTGTCATAATTTTGGTTATATTGTAACTGCCATGCTTTTTGGTACACTGTAACTGTCATGCTTTTGGTTATATTGTAACTGTCTTGCTTTTGGTTATAGTGTATTTTAACTGTCATGCTTTTGATTATATTGTAGCTGTCATGCTTTTGGTTATAGTGTAACTCTCTTGCTTTAGGTTATATTGTTACTGTCTTGCTTTTGGTTATATTGAAACTCTCATGCTTTTGGTTATATTGTAAGTGCCATGCTTCTTGTAATGTTGTAACTGCCATTCTTTTGGTTTTATTGTATTTGTTCGTCACATGTATTTATTTAAAATAAATTTATTTTGAAAAGAGTATACTTGCTATCAACGTCACATATACTGCCTATAATCCAACTATACAAATATAATTACATGTATCAATACTCATATTATAATACTAGTGACCCTACCCGTTCTTGCTACAAGGAAGGGGGCTGGTGGCGGGAACGGACGTGTCAGTCCTTTCATTGATTAGTTGTACAAAATGTTAATCGCCATGTGCGTATTATAGCGAGTTCATTTATTAAGTGACACACCATAAAGGGGAAACGGCTGAAACGGTAAGGATATTTTGAAGGTGGATGAGGAACCTAGCGCTACATAACTTTACCTTGAAGTGGCCAGGTTTTAACGAAACTTTAATTTTATATTGTTTTTTTGTTTTTTTTTTAATTTTATCAATTAATGAATATACAGTGGTACCTCGGTATACGTCTGCTTTGGAAGAAGTCCAACTTGGAATACGTCCGGTTCGGACTAGCAATATTTTGCTTTGTATGAGACCTTCGTTTGGAAAACGACCCGCGTGTGTGCTAGAACTTGTATGTGTGAAAATGACACATCGCGCAAAGACTGGGATGGATGCACTCTCTTCAGATTTTTAGTAAAATTCAAACCTGGTCAGCCTCAACCAGGGTCAACTAGGGAAAAGAGACAGAGACAAGAAAAAAACAACAGAATGTCATATTCTTGAAGTTTTATTGGAAGGGGACTCTCCTTCAAAACAATAACATCTCCTCCTTCTCAGCACCACATTAGTAAGCACTTGACTCTTCTCACCAACGTAAAGTTAGGTTCTATTTACATTGATTTCACATAACTTCTGTTCATGTATGTATTTAAGTAGCTTAAATTATTTCATCCAACCACCTCAATATATGTATAATATGCCATTAAAAATATGATTTTTTTGATTGGAACGGATTAATTATTTTCCCTTTGTTTCTTAGGGGAAAAATACGTTTGGTATATTTCCTGTTTAGTATACGTCCTGTTTGGTATGCGTCCTGTTTGGTATACGTCCTGTTTGGTATACGTCCTGTTTGGTATACGTCCTGTTTGGTATACGTCCTGTTTGGTATACGTCACGTTTGGTATAAGTCCAAGGATCAGGAACGCATTAAGGACATATACCGAGGTACAACTGTATATTATTAAAAATATAATATGAAGGAAAGAAAAAAAAAATTGATGACATAAGTTCCGTGGGAATTTTAATAACTTTAGAAATCTTGTATCAAAAATAGTTCACCCACTTATATATATATAAGAAAATGTTATCGACATTTTAACGATATTAAAAATGTGGCTGCAGAACTCATTGAGGTCATTATATTTTAGTTTCAGAATCACCAAATCTGTATGAAATCAAGTTAGAATTAAAAGTAACAGGAACGGACCAATCCGCAACGAAATGTGACGGTCAGAAAAAGTATGTGGATAAGGAGAACAACATCATTGATATCAAATGTGATCTAAAATTTGAAAGCGCTAAAATAAATATTAGTGGTGAGGTAGTTGGATACCTCTGCTCTATCTACATCAGTGGAGGTAAGGCTTTTATGTATATATTAAGCTTATTTTTTATTTGATTTTTTTGGTAATTTACTTTTTTTTTTGACGTGGAAATCTTAGATTACTTAATTTAAAGAAACATTTTAAATCTAAACTTCACTGTTTTGTGGTAAATAATATAAAAAAGCGTTTTATTTGTCCATTATAGCTGCACTTTTGTCTAATTTAAAATATTTAAACAAAACTTGTTAAAACAATTGTCCACAAGTCAATTTTCAGTCAATTCTAAAGAATGTGATTTAAATGAAAGAAAAACACAAAAAAAATGCATCGCATTATTAAGACATTGGCAAATTAGATACATTAAAATGGCTACTTTGAAAACAGTTTGCACTGACACGGACACTGCATTCGTGCTCGAGGTAATAAGGGGAGAGACTGCAATTAGGTTAGTACAATAAAAAATGAGTAAAACAGAGTAGGGTTAAACCTGAAAAAGTAAACACAACAAAAGAAAAAAACGTGTCGGCAGAAAGCCTTCGTCAGCGAACAAAACAACAGAAAAACCTGTTAAAAAACAAAAACAAGAATAAGAAATATGATGGATTAAGTAGCTACAGCTGTCATACATTGTCGGCTGATAACTTTATCGGAAATGCCAGCATCTGCTAATATCACTTCCTTGTGGTAATTTTGATATGGTATCTTCCAATATTTTCATGCATTCTGTTGACTCCTCCTAAATTCCACATATATTTCTTCATTATTAATGTCTGCTCCACATCGACATCAATGCGTGGTACCCGAGAGAAGCTCTTTGTTCTTTCGCAATAGAAGAATCCACGCTAGATTTTCCTCTATTGTTTCCAATTGTGACTTACCGTTATTTGGGTTTACATATTTATTTGTTTTAAGATTTTGCCAATTAAATGAATCACACAAAAATTGAAAACTTGGATACAAGGTAAAAACTGATATTAAGCTACTGATATTAACGTTAATAACTTTTTTAAACACTCCATATTTACATAACTATATTGCTTATGTAATGAGAGATATTAAGTGGAAGATTTTTGATCATGCGCAGAAGACAGAAAGGAAGTCGAAATATATAAAGAAAAAGGGTATTGGCCAGAATAAAGATATAAGCATAGATCATCCACGTTGATTAGGAACAGAGGCCTGGCTACTTGGAGGCAAGGGGGACAGATGCCCTAGGGCACCAGACTTTTTAATGGCGACTACATACACTTTGATCTTATTTTATTAATAAAAATAATGAGTTTGAGAGTTGAGAAAAGAAAGGAAGCTGTTTAAAATGAATCTTTTCCCGGGAGCCAAAAAATCTGGCTAGGCTTCTGATTAGGAGTCAAGAATTTGTGAGTTAAGAAGAGCGTACTTGCAATCATACTTGTATTTAAAAGGAGCGAACATTGAATATTATATTTGTTTTTTACTGTGTTATTACTGAGTTATCATTGTGTTATCACTGTGTTATCATTGTGTCATTACTAATTTATTTCTGTGAAAATGAAAGGTGGTGTATAGAAACAGGAATTCTAATTTTCATTGAGGGTCGAGAGGAACGCCTAGGCTTCATGGACGACGGATGGAGTCTCCCAAATCGTCATAATAAAATGAAACTAAAGAAGTTATAATTACTAGCATGAGTTGATCAACTGATAGACTGAGCCTAAAACCCCATCAGTTAAAAAGTTAATGTTACTAATGATATTATAAATAAAAATGTACTAAATATATTGATAAATCTGCATTAGCTTACAGCATGGTAAATAAAAGCGTATAATACTAGAAAAATACAATTATGTAATTCCCACACACACTGGAAAACTAGTGTACTTCTTATAGGGCTCCTGTCAGTCTTGTATGTATCGTCAGTCTACTTGATACAGTCGACCTTCGTAGTTATAGGGAGAGCGTCAGAGTAAAACATTATTTAATTCTGTAGCTTGAGATTAATTGCTCTCACTATGTAGACCATTCTGGAAATTTAAAAAAAATATTTTAAAACAAGGATGGAGGGGGGAAAGAGGGGCTAAATTAATTGGGAATGTCAAAAACAAAGAGGGGGTAATGTTGCATGCCATGGCATAAAGTGAACAAAACTAGCAAACACACAGGCAAAACAGATATCTTTCATGTCTGACCATCTAGAATATCTTCACTACCAATATTTGACAATAAAACACTTGGTTTACGCTTTTCCTATCCTATTCATCTTTACTGTTTCCTTCAGGTTCTTTGCCATCTTTCGGTGGTATGACAGACACACTGTCCCTACTAACTTCCCAGTTATCTACTTTCATTACATCAAGCATATTACTTATATTGAGATTTCGTGTCATGCTAACGACATAAAATATAAACGCCTTGCAAGAAATGGGTCTTTAATGCCCCTTGTTATAATAACATAAATGTAACTACTTTCTTAAAGCTACAATTTAATCAAAGCTTGATATCAATAATATAATGCTTGTAGAACAAAACTTACTATCATTATAATCAGCGCAGAACCGTTACGTATTTGATAAGAAGTTCTAGTCCAGCGGAAGAACCTCACTTACTACAGTCAACATAAGAGTAGAAAAACTCTTTGGATCTATCAATGAAGGACACAGGAAGAAGTTATATCAAAAGCCTCATAATCTGCCATCTGATTTATCATTTAACTAACATGAATTTGAAAGATATTTGAGCGGGCTGTAAAAATTTGAGATTTTAAAACGACCCTGTTTTTTTTTGTTTTTTTTTTTAAAATTTCTATTGCAGTAACCTTAATATTTATTTTATTTTAAGGACGAAATATTGCATTGAAACAAAATGCAAGCCAGTCCAGCACGTATAACTCCGACTCATCTAGAGCAAGCAATGCAGTGGATGGTAACACAAGTGGTGACTTTAATAACAATAGTTGTACACACACAGCTGGCGGTGACCGAAACCCACACTGGAATCTGACTTTCTCCAGACCACAGTTTATTCAACGATATATTCTTTATAACAGTAAGTTTTTGTTAAAATGTACAAATTGTTATCTAGCGACACGCTCACTGTAATTTTTTACGAAAAAACGTGTGTCATAGTGGACTATTCAAACTATTCTAACTTAGTATGTTGCGAGAAAATAAAATGTCTATAGTATGTCACATCGAAATTGGTGCAACATTTTATAATGATCGTATTCTTTTCTTACCAAAGATATACTTAAAAATAAAAAAATAATACACACAGTCAGTTATCAATTTGGTTTAGTGTAAAGGACTAATATTAACTCTAAACAACTAGTCTCCACTTTTCACAGACATAAATATATGTTACATATCAAGAGTTAAAATTTCTCTTGCAGTCGGACAGTGTTAAAGCTTAAAGTTTTATGCCTAGGAAGACATGCATTAATCAGATTTAAGTTGTGCATGTGTTCCTTAATTTTATTTTCATGCTCCCTTAAATCAGCTGATCAACTCCCACACTACTCTCCTACCAAACTACAAATCATTGCACACAATAATATACCCGTAATCTCTTTTTTTTCTCCCATTCTGCCCATCCCTGCACTAACACATTCAACACATTCACACTCTCAATACATATCTCCCCTACCACCAAAACCGTACCAACTTACCTTGTTATGGCCCAGACATACATCCTATCATACCAACTCCTAAATCGACGTCCCGCTCCTAACTTATTCAAAGCAACATATTATTTACACCCAACATTTCTCTAACATCACTTCAGTATTTTCATTTCACTCCATCATTCTTCTGAAATCTTGAACATCCTCCCACTTCTCCTTATCCCCAACCTTCTACCTCATTCTCACACATACATGGCTGGAATGAACAGTGATTATTTAATGAATTTTATTGTTTTTTTTTAAATTCTTTACAGAATAGCATCCAAAGAAATGATATATACAAAGCAAAAATATTTTTAACATAAATGAAGTTAAAAATAACATGAAAAGTTTATATGTATTTATTGTTCATTGAAATACAAGAAGAACGGTAAACGGTATTTTATAAAAGAATTTTTGTCTGTTCGAAACACACAATTTTCTTTTAAAACCATCCCTGGTATCAGGATTCCAGTAAGACATTAATGTTGCTTTTTGTTAATTGTTCAATACATATATCATGCAAACAGATTCATATGCCATTTGTGGGTGTTCAATAGATAGAAAGTTTGCCCCCCCCCCCTAAATACTCGAATTAAAAAATGATATCCAAAAGTTTACCATGTTAAAGTATTAAGATGGGGAATTTAGTAACGCAATTTAATTAAATTCGGTTTTAATATTTATTGAAATGACTGTCAATGTCCAAAAGGCAGTTAATCATTTTAGAAACATTTTCAAATGGTAGATTAAATTTAAATTCAGTCTAAAGAATGTTGTGCGTATGCATAATGTTATTGAAATCCTAACCCTCTTAACACATATTATAAGCATGTCATTAATTCGAATTTATTGCTAAGTAATCATTGGACACTTCCTATGTCAACAATCACTTTCAAACATTTCAAAAGGTACAAATAGATGGTTACCGTTTACAAAATGTTTGATGTTTAGTTAACAGAAATGAGATAATTCATCGTTGGGTAAGAGGGTATTGCCAGCCAATAGTTTAGGGCAGGGGTCTCAATCTCAAATCATCTGGGGGCCGCAGAAGTTAGAGTCTTAATGAGACTGGGCCGCATCAAGTAAAAAAAAAAGCGACTACAAACTCAAACAAGTACAACTGGTACATCTGCTCAAACTTTATTAATAAAAAAAAAACATTAAAGGTTCTCACGAACTAATAGTCTTCACTTTCTTCCACCTACTCCTTGTTGCCAGAGACCTGGCAGCGCTTCTTCTTTCAAAGCTGAGCATCATATGGCTTGAGTGAGGAAGCAGCTGAGATCCTCAGTATAGCTTGAAAATGCTCATCAGTAAGTCTCGCCCTCAATTTTGTCTTGTTTAATTTCATAGTTGAAAAAGAGCTTTTCACACAGATAGGCACTCCCAAAAAATCAAATAATGCGCTTGAGCAACCTGGAAATCTCAGTGTTTGTGGAGGGCACTGCTCTCATAAATTTTCCATGCTGGTCTTTTTCTCCATTAACTTCCAGAACTTAGAATTGCACTGAATATCAATCAGCTCTATTTGAAGCGCAAATGGGGAGTAAGGGGGGGAGGGGCGGGGGGGGGGAGAAAGAAATTAAAGGAAAAAGGGTCAGCAAAAAGTTTAAAAGTCGCTCTGCATGTGGGTTTTGAATTCTAAACACAGGTCATCAAATTCTTCCTGTAGCTTTGCAATGGCATACGTATACTCACTACTAAATGTGTTGCCTGAATCTGAAATATTGATGCGAAGAAAGATGCTATTGTAGGGAGAATAAATTTTGATTTTTTTATCGTAGAAAAGGCCTTTTTGACTAAAACCTACTTTCAATGGCACCAAGCTGACATGCTCGGTATTTTCCTCACTCGTTAACACTGGGGGCAATTTTAATAGGGATTCTTTGATACTGTGTCAGATTGCTACAATTTACACAATTGTGGTTATGCATTACCAACTAACTGACTTTTTAAATTTTTATGAAAACCGTATTTTGGCCAGGCTTGTCTCATAAAATGCTATAAAATAAAAACTTTTAGTCAGGTTTCAAAACGGTTTTGACCATTATAATAAAAAGTCCAAATCTATTCAAACATGATGAAAATAAGAATAAGACTAGTCGATGAGATTCGACCGAAACTTTCACAGAGGGTCCCATTATAGATATGAGAATAGGAACAACTCGCGGGCCGCATTACACTTAACTTTGATGTCATTTAGCTGGCCGCAAAATATCGTCTTGTGGGCGGCAAATGGCCCGCGGGCCACGATTTTGAAACCCCTCTATGGGTTTTAATTGTTAAGGTCAATTTACATATACGAATACTTTTATCAATATTTACATTTAAGTTGCATCGTTGTTTGTGACTTGTGCATATTTGGTATTTACTGGACATTTATTCACAAAAAGAAATGTATTAATAACGTGAAAATGAATCGTAGTTTAAATGAATTTTGAAACAAAAATTGAGAATTTAAAAAAAAAGTGTATTGGGTTTTTATTTATTTGCATTTTTAGATTTAGAAAATAGTACATGAACCGATTTATTATTTGAAGAACGTGAATCAGGCTGCGTTTGGCGCGGACCACAACGGGTTACACCATTTTAGGGGTGACACCCACTTGAAAAATTGCATATTTACAGAGCACCGATGCTTGGTCTAACGGAGATTTACAAAAGGATAACCGATCACATATACATTTTTCACTAATGTAACAAATTCAAATGCTTGCTTTATTTAAAGTTCAAGGTTGATGCGTCAGATGAGATGACCCTATGTTTATGTCAGAAAAACACTGTTATTATTAAATTTATAAAGTAAGACTTTCCATTGATACCAAAGAAATTGTGGGTAGGCGATTCCAAGTATAAGAATCGGTAAAAATTAAAAACATTGAAAATGAACTTTTACCCATTTATAGCGTTAAATATATATAATTTAACAATTTTCAATCTTTAAATGATGAATATCTATTTAAATTTAAATGAAAAAAAGTGTTTTGATAACATATATAATAGCATATATCGAAAACTCCGAGAAATTCAAAAAATGATATTTTTGACGATTCGCCCCTTAACATTTGAGCACCATTGTCATATTTCGACTACTGGGTTTTATCTGTCACCTTTCTGCCTTGTATTTTAGACAGTGCTATGACTTTAGTTTTTCAACTGTTGACAGTAATTATATTTTATTTTCTTGAACATGACGCAATTAAATTATTTTTATTGTTCACAATTATTATGTCATGCCACACGGCATTCACAAATCTAAACAGCCAAGTGGCTGTCAGTAGTGAAAAGAAAAAAAAGATTCGCGACTCACTAAAAATCAATACAAGAATACATGCTTCGATATCACGAAACCTAATGATGACCAGGATGACCAGAGTTCATCAAAAGACATTCCCCAGCCTACCATTGATACTGATACTGATTCTCCCGATAACAGCAGCATGAATTCTTTTCAGCAAATAATGGAGAAAATGGAAGAGATTGAAGTGAAAACACAAGTAAAAGACATGCGTGGTTTGGAAACTGAAATATCTGATGATAATGTTGATTCAAACCAAGATGCTGTAAATGTAAAGGTTAATGACAAAAAACTGGCACATTTGATCAGATGCTTCGCTCTGGAATGTACCAGTTTCGGTCTGAAATTATTTAAATAGGGAGAAACTCGTTTCAGAACATGGAGGGACTATTCAGCGTAGTGACAAGCAAAATTTGAAAATAAAGAGGTGTTTGCCAACTAACCAAAAAATGAATTTACGGGCTGATGAAAACTGACTGGAAAATACTGCGGACGTGGATGGTTCATTCATGCGTCTGTCAGAAATTGTATTGTTTTTCTGCCGATTGTTTGATGATAATGTTACTGAAAAAAGCATCCAATTTTGTTACTGGCTTTCAGAAGTTGTGGAGATTGAGCCCAAAACTACAAAATCGTTAAGCATCGAAGAGCATCTATGTTGCCTTGAAAAGTGGAAAGCATTGTCAGCAAGACTTAGGATATAAAAAAACTATTGATACTGAAAGTAATAATAATAATAATAATAAAGTTTATTTCAAAAACACGTTTCATTCCCAGAGGCTCGAAGCGCGGTACAAAAGTAAACAAAAAAAAAAAAAGTATTGCTACGATGCACAAGGAGAAGAAAAAGATGAGAGATATCCTGCACATGTTGTAAAACAATTGATACTGAAAGTAAAAATAAAAATAAAAATAAAGTTTATTTCAAAAACACGTTTCATTCCCAGAGGCTCGAAGCGCGGTACAAAAGTAAACAAAAAAAAAAAAAAGTATTGCTGCGATGCACAAGGAGAAGAAAAAGTTGAGGGATATCCTGCACATGTTGCTTGATATCACATCGTTTCTTGCAAAGCAAATATCTGGCATTTTGTGGCCACAACGAAGATTAATCTTCAATGAAAATGTCTTGAACTGTTGAGATGCTATCTAAATTTGACCCAGTGCTAAAAGAGCACCAAATGATACTAAAGAGGAGTAAATCTACAGATAAAGCATCCGCATCTTACCTTCCACCAGAAAACCCCCTAAAATTATAAATGTCCTTGCAAATAATGTGAAGGATACTATTATCATGGATATAAAGCCTGCGAGGTATTTTGGAATTATGTTCGAAAATACACCTTATATATCACACTGTTACCAGATGTATGAAAAGATCATATGTGAAAATCCACAATGGTAAAGTTGAAGTGAGATAAGTGTTTCTCGCATTTACCCGTTAAGAGGAAACAATCTGATGACCTCAGTTCTGTCATTCTTATAAATCTAAGAGGTTACGATAATGCTGCCTCAATGTCTGGAACCTCTGGAGTTGTTCAGGCCATTCAGAAAAGAAATAATAAGAAAGCCATTTTAATGAATTTGTGGACCAAAGCTTAACGTGTCTGCTCCACATTTTTTTGTAGAAAATGCTTCATTTTATTACATTTTTCGGTACTCTTGCAAAATTTTTCCTTCTTTGCTGCATCCAATCATCCATGGAATGTTCTAATTGAACACACTGGAATGTTGCAAAAAAGTCTGTCAACAACGCGTTGGAGTGCTCATCGTGCTGCTGTTAAAACAGTGAAAGATGAGTTTGATGAATGTGTGGCTGCTATTGAAGCTCTGTGTAATCCTTTTGAAAATTTGGAAGCACGAGTTACAGCACAGTGTCTTCTAAATGCTTTCTACGATTTCACGTTTATTTGCCACCATTACCTTTGGGAAAATCTACTCGAGGAAGTTATTCCTACACAGCAGTAAATACAGACTATATGCTTTAATCTTGATAAAGTGGTGACCAACCTACAGGCGTTAAGCTAATATTGAATGAAAATCACTCTCCCTTTGTGGAACACGCTATTGAAAAGGCACTTTTAACAACAAACCAATACGGATTTCAATAGAGAGAAGATTAAGGTTTAAAAGAAGACAGGGGAACAGTTATGGATACTGGACTCTCTCTCAGTGAAGAAAACAGTAAGGAGATGTTTGGTTGTATTAATCACTTTTATTCTGAACTTTAGATCAGATCATAAGCGATCGAGGAATTAGCAGATATTTTATGGGTTGCTCAACCCAAGAGTCTACGACAGTAAGCAATTTAAGAAGAGTTATTGGTGTCCGTTCCAAAATTAACCCCTTTTCATGCTTAGTTATTAGAAGTTGAAATTTAAAAGAAATACCAAAGCTTAGAAGACTTTTAAATGCAGCTGATATTGATTTTCACAAAGTCATGGACTGGTCAGTATTTGATGTTTTGAAATTCATAGCCGAATCGGACTTGCTAGAAACTCTTCCAATACTCTCACTAGTCCTTTAATTTTTCTTACGATGTGTGTTTATGTGGCTTCATGTGAGCGGAGGTTTTCAAACCTACGGCTTATAAAGAAATGTTTATGATCCACTATGGGACAGTTTAGGCTTTCTGATGTGGCTCTGTTATCAATTGAAAGTGATACAGGGAAGGACATTAATTTGCATCAAGCGATTGACTGGTCTGTCGCTTTGAAGACTAGGAAAGGAAAATGTTTAATAAAGTAAATGTAATGTAAAAATAACTGTAACTTAACGTTGTCATAGTTTTTAAATTTATGGACCTCAATACCTTCAATTTATGTGGGGGTTTTTGCTTGTCTTTGTTATACTTTGGAGTTTTTTTAACAAGAAGAAATCCATCGTGGAAGTTTGGGGAGGGGGGAATAACACAATGAGTTTACTGCAACGGGTAACACCAAACGTAGCTACGCCACTGACGTAAATAAACAAATAAATTATGGCATCAATCAAACAGTTGGATTCCAACGAAATGAGATGTGTGGTGGAATAAGTTGTTTAAAACTCATTTCAGTAACTAAAAAAAAAAACACAATAATTTCTGAAAATCGTCTTCTTTTTTTGTGTTGTTTATATTTAATTCGGAATCAATTTCAGAAATTGAACTTTTTTTTTCTTTACAGGAAATATACTGGGGCGCCGTTTACAAAGCTTTCAATTGAACAGCTTCTTCATGAACAACTCGGTGTTTAACTACACTGAGCCAGGGGAAGAGAAACTGAAATACGAAATTTCAACGAGTGAAATAATGAAACCTGTCAACAAAGTACAAGTATACGCTATATACACTTTGCAGAGAGATACTAATCCTTTTCTTACATTATGTGAAGTGGAGATCTATGGAGGTTCGTCAATATCCATTCATTCTTACAAATATTTGGCCATTCTCATCTTTTTTATAAAAAATAATGTTTTTATTATTATAACCTATACATTTTATGTGAAAATTTATTAACAAATGACTTAAAATATCATTAGCTAAGTAAAATTATGTTTTAAAAAAAAACATAGTCTGATCATTTAGCGTATATCCATCTAAATTTGAGTTTCAGAAATGCATTAAAAATGTCTACACCGTTTTAATTTCAGATCATTTCTGTGAGGGTAACTCATTTGGTTTAGATTGCAACTCAACATGTAATTGCGCTGAAAGTGGCGAAAAATGTTTTGTAGCCACAGGTGGTTGCGTCTCTGGATGTGCGAGTGGTTACCAAGGTCAAGGATGTGGACAAAGTAAGTTAATAATAAATATGAATAAAATGTAGGGCTAAAATAACAAGAATTTTCCAATAAAGTTATAAAAATGTTAGTTGGATACAAAAATCGAATAATATAATTTATTATTTAAATAAGTTTAAAATAAAGCAAATGCCCCAATGTGTTATGTTAATTAATTTACTTGATCAATTGGTCTTTATTTTGCTTGTTCGTTGCTAAAAAACGTAATTTCACCAAAATGCCAAAATTTTGTGTCTTTTTGTCCACCAATTCTCACTGATTTTTTTTTTTTCTTCAAGTTCGTGTCAATCTTGGAAATATTATTAATGAAAAGAAATAAGTAATATTTGTTTAAAAGATGTTGTTGATTTAGAAAAAAAATTAATCGACAAAAGCAATTTATTTTTCTACAGAATGCCGATTATATAGTTGGGGAAAAGACTGTTCAGGGAGATGTAAAGTAAATTGTAAAAACCACACATGCCATCACGAAACAGGTTACTGTGATGCTGGATGTCATTCAGGTTTTACCGGACCAGATTGTTCTCAAAGTGGTAATTCATATCTTCTTTAAAATGTAAAAAATAATGCCAATTATTAGCGACTTATTTATACAATTCTTAGAAATAGTATAAACTATAGTATTGGATATACAAGACCGTAACAAGGCAATATTTTGAGACCATAACAAGTTTGACATTTCAAGACCTCATTAAGTGATATTTTGAGGCCAAGACAAGTTTGACATTAAAAGACGAAAAAAGTCTGATATTTTGTGATCAAAACAAGTTTATCCTTACAAGACACAAATAGAGCCCGATATTTTGAGACTATAACAAATGTGACATTACTATACCTCATAAAATCTGATATTTTAAGACCACAACAAGTATAATATTACAACTACAACACCCCATAAAGTCTGATATCTTAGACAATAACAAGCGTAACATTACAAGACCCCCATAAAGTCTGATAAATGAGAGCATAAAAAGTGTAACATTATAACGCCCCATAAAGTATGATATTTTAAGGCGATCCCAAGCGTGATATTAAAAGACAGTAGCATCCCTGATATTTTAAGACTATACCAATTGCGATACTAAAAAACAGCAATAAGGCTGACATTAGTATAATTGTAATAAGAATTATTATTACTGTAAAAGGTTTTTAAAAAAATCGAATCTACCTCCTATGGTACACTTTTATAACGTTCTCTTTATTTATAATTCCAGAAAGTAACCCTGGTACAGCGGCAGCCATAGTAGTGTCTCTCCTTGTTGTGGCGGCTGCCATTTGCTTAGCTGCTGTCATTATTTTCAAAAGGTTATTTTCTTAAAGTAAAATGTTATAACCTGATTTCAACGAAATACCCTTTTTAAATGTTTCAAAATACACGAATTAATGTCTGTCCTCATATTCATCTATTATAATGAATTGTCACTAATTTATCACCTCTTTTGGGTTGTGTATGTGTGTGTGTGTGTGTTTTCCTATACAGAGACGTATATTTTGAAACGATATTTTTCTGAATTATTTTTTCTTTTGAACTAAGTTTAACGTTCAAGTAAAAGTTGTACCCGCTGGAAACATGTTGAGTTTTTATGTTCATTTGTTTCAATTGGTTTTGCTTTGAAATAGCAACAGGACATTTAGAATTATAAATGATCCGATTTTTCTAGGTACAAAAAATCTAAGCAATCGGACCACGCTTCAATAAAGCAAACCCTGACATCAAGAAAAATAAGTGTTGATGACGATCAGACGGCAGGTAATCAATTCGTTAACTCAATCTACAATCTAACTACTCTATAGAAATGTTAATTTTTTTTTTTAATTAAGGCAATTTCAAGCAATTCCAAACGAATTTTGGAAGATCCTAGCCATAAAATGATATTTCAGCACTTAATAGGGAACACGACATTTAAAGCTGAAATACAGTGTTTTATTATCACCAAATTGTTTGTGAAGTTTAAAATTATTTTCCACATGGCAAAATGACTGCTCAGTCATTGAAAATTCTCTGGTGAAACGGCACATGGTGATGCCCAGCAATTTATAAAAATCCTCACAAAATCTATCGGGTCATTGAAGCTTGGACATTTCCCATGACACACCTGGTTTAAGATGTCTTTAAAGCAGATGTGAATATTTTAATTACTTATTTAGCCCCTTTGTGTTTCATTCTTCGTTGATCAATTCCAAAATCAAATTATATAAGAAAATGTCAAAGTTATGCAATAAAGATCTAAAGGTCAAGGGCTACAGATGCGTATTGAAATGATTACATGGTAAGTCTGTTCATCACTGCAGACCAGCTGGACCAATCAGAAGCCTCTGATAACTATATGACGTACACCAATGACGTGGTGCTGCCTGTTGACACACTTATAGAAGTCACGCGTTTACAAGAGTTCTTGAGGTCACATGACAACAGTTATTTTGAAGAGCAATTTAAGGTGACAATTATAGATGAGTAGAATAAACCACACGACTTTGTCTCTCTCGTTCTCTCCCTGTTTCTTCCTCTCTAGCGACGTCTCTCTCTCTCTCTCTCTTTCTCTACCTACCTCTTTCTCAATATATCGATGTTTCTTTCTGTCTTTGTCTCGTTCTCTCCCTGTCTCTTTCTCTCTATATCAATGTCTCTTTTTGCCTATATCTCCCTTTCTCTTTCTGTCTATATGGATGTCTCTTTCTGTCTCTTTCTGTCTCTTTTTCTTTCTATATTTTTTTTCTATTTTCTTCTCTCTTTCACGCGCTCAGTTTTTCTTTCTCTCATTTTTTTTTCTTTCTGTCTCTCTCTCTCTCTCTCTCTTTCTCTGTATTTTTACTAACACTTCCCTATAATTTTTCTCTATATATATGTGTCTTCCTTTCTCTCCCTGTCTCTCTGATTATCTCTCTCTCTCTCTCTTAATAGATCTTTATCTCCACCTTTTTCTCTCTATCTTTTTCTCTCTTTCTCAACATCTATTTCTCACTCTCTCTCTTTCTCTCTTTCCGATTTTCTCTGCCCAATTCTACTTTATCTCTCTGTCTCTTCCTCTCTCTCTATTTTCTGTTTCACTCTCCTTTTATATCTTTCTCTCACTTTTTTTGTCTCTCTCTCTCTCTCTCTCTCTCTCTCTCTCTTTAGAGTATTATATTATTTAGCAGATTCAGTAAATTTTTAGATTCATAATAAAACCATAAGAGATATTCACTTTAGACACAAACAACGCAAGATACTTTAGAGATTTACCAAAGAAACTTTGACAGACCATTATAATATATTTTACCCTTCGGAAAAAGACAAACATTCAAAATAAGGAAATGAATAAAATGCAAGACAGCAGCTAAACAGTTAAAACTGTATCAGTTGAGTTATTTTACTATATAGTAAACAAACATATCAGTAATAAGACAATCAATATTTTCTCATATCTTCGGTGTCCTCTTCAGTTCTCCAAAGATCTCTACATCAGATATTACTAATCGACTTAAATACAAATACTTTTCTGACATAGTGAAACTATCCCACGGGCTGATGTATAACGTTCTCTCCTATTACATTTTCCAAAATAGATTATCCCACGTCCAACCAACGTCACTCAGCATGTTGGCATCAGCATTGAGAACATTCAGAAAAATCGCTATAAAGATATCTGCACCTGTAAGTCTGTCATTTTTTTTTTAAACATAATAATACAACGTTTAGATCATGAAAATAAAACAACCTAATATCTAGATCATTTATTATTTAGGTATTCTAGATGCACTAGTTTTAATTATAATCGTATGTTACGCATTGCCTTCTATTGTGAGAAATTAATCTCTTATTGGCTCGTTCAAACAGTGCATAACAAAAGGCGACACCATAAAGAAATACAATAGCAAAAAAACGACACCCTAAACAGTTACTAATTGCAATTAATTAGATTTATTTAAGTATTGTATGATTACTAAACAAAAGAAATATAATCACAATCATCAACTTAAAGAACATGGTAGATCGTGTACCGGTACACAGTTAGTACAATGTTCCAATTAATAATGTACAATGATGAATGAGAATAAACGCATATGAGTACACAAATAATAATACACCTGTCTCGTGAAGTTAAAAATAGCTATCTGAATCTCTCTCCGCCTCCGTCATTGCCCTCTTTGCTTTTATAGTCGGTTCTACCGAAAAACTTAGGCGTATTCCGGATTATACTAGTAACTAGAAAATTCCACAAATGACTAATTTTCGAACGCCTTCAAGTATACAAGAAACCGGTGATAGATCAAAGGGATTAAACCACGCTCACGACGAACGCAGCCTAATTTTGGGGTGAACCAGAGTTCACGGCACGGGGAAAGAGTGACGTAAACACGTCCTACATAACACATCATTTAAATGATTCATTTCGTTTAGAACTGATTTGCGGTGTTCATCCTGTGTGTCGCGACCGCATTTGACCCGTACACAAGAGTAGCTAAGACCATCAGAAAACATGTGTCTATGAAGTAGCAACGAAAATAATTTTGTGGTTTGGGGGTCACTACAACATTAGGAACTGTATTATAGGGTCGCGGTATTAGGAAGATTGAAGACCACTGTGTTAGATGATAAGGGAGCGGGGAAATGTATGAGAAATGGAGTGGAGCAACATTTAAAATTCAATATGTATATATAAGTTAATACCCCCTGAAAATAAAAACAAAAACATACATTAATAAATTGTTGTTGTTGTTGAGCCTTCTCGTCCATGAGGGGCATCCACCGATCATCGTTGGCGTCTGCGGTTCCTCCAAGGGCATAGGCCACCTACGAGAGATCTCCAGGCATCTCTATCCTGGGCCAGCTTCTCCAGGATCTTCCATTCATGGCCAATTTTCTTGATGTCTGTCTCCAATTCTCGGCGCCAAGTGTTTCTTGGACGGCCTCTTTTCCGCTTACCCTGTGGGTTCCATTTCAGGGCTTGCTTTGTTATGTTAGAAGCAGGTTTTCTTAGTGTATGACCAATCCACCTCCACCGCTTCTGGAGAATCTCTTCCTCAATGGGTTTCTGTTTTGTCCGCTGCCACAGTTCCTGGTTGCTGATTTTGTCTGGCCAGTGAATTCTGAGAATCCTTCTTAGAAAGTTGTTGATGAAGGACTTGATTCTAGTCAGGTTTACGGCCGTTGTTCTCCATGTCTCGGATCCATATAGCAACACAGGTTTTACCATAGCGTTAATAAATTAAATATGTATATTTTTTTTTAAAGACGACCATTCCAGAGTTCTCCTGGATATAAATACACATAACAATGAAGGGGACTACATCAATGCATCTTTTATTGAGGTGAGAAGCCTTGTATCTGTTTTAGTAATCATTATTACTTTTCATCCAAGTGATTCTCAAAATAGGTGCGTCGAACGTTTAGTTTAGAATTAAATACCAGGTGGTCTGTTAGAGAATTTAAATTCCACTTATCAAAATTATTTAAGGTAGAGAGATGGCAAATAAAGCTCAAAGAATTATAGCGCGTGGTCGCCGTATACTCCTTACAAGTATCCCCTACTTATATACTTTTTTGGAGAAGGTATTCACAACTAACTTTGCTTTCCAATATGCTGGTTGTATGTTTAATTTTAGCTTAAAGTGAGAAGACAAAATACCAATAACATTATTAGCTTCAGTATTGCATCGATTGACGATAAATTACGGTTTGGTATCGAAATCAAATTAAAAATAAAATTGAAACAAAAGTAGTGCACCTTGTCAACCATCTTAAGCAATTTCCTAATTTTGATCCAAAAAAAAAATACAAGTAACTACATGTCTGTGTTTGCAAGTTGAAACATCAAACTCAACACTACACAAACAGCCTCTAGTAAGGGAGTTGAGAGTTGCATCTATCTTGTAAGGGAACCACACTGGAACATATCGGTCAGCAGGTGTGAGAATGTGTTCAAGAGTTCACCGGTAGTTAAGTGGCCACTATCCAGACAGCACAACTTAAAATAACTAGTTATTGCCTGATATGACTGTCTAACAAAACCAATGCTAGGTCGAAACGTATCAATCAAAACCAATGTTATACTATATTTATCTAAGCTCACAGACATTTTAAATAAAAATGTACTAATAATAATAAATTACAAGCGTTTACAAAAATGTTTCTTCAAATTATTTTTCTTTAACTATTTGATGTATTTGTGAATTTCAGAATTGATAACCTCACGTTTAAAAGAAAGTTTATTGTAGTTTGTATTTGTTTAAAGCTCAAAACTAATACAAATTAAAACTTTATTTTATGTATCGTCATTAGCACAAGTATATTGTTTCCTCAGGGTTACAAAAATGACGAAAGAATGATAGCCTCTCAAGGTACTTTTAACGGATACAAGATGTAGTTAAAAATAACTAAGTAATATTACAGGTGTATGTCATAAGCTATGTCAGGGAAATACAATACAGTTTTTTTGTGTGTTAAAATTTTAATTTGTTTTTAAAGTTGAATTTTTGTCGGAGAGTCTTTAATCCATTATGATATCAACAGTCTGTTTTGTGTTAACCTATTTTGAAATCATTTATATTAACGTCACCTTTAAGTGTTTGAGGAAAACTTTTCGAATGGCTTATGTTCAAACTTACGGTCAATCTACCGAGGTCAAACCTGGCCTATTTACTCGTTGCCCATGACAAAATATCCTACACACTTATCATCCTATCATCCTCAATCACCGTCTCCAAGCCCTAAGTTTTTGTCTCCGTTTTTTCAAAGGGAAGATTATAATGAAATATGATGCCACTAATTTAATGACACAAAATGTCCCAAAACTGTTCTAAATCAGATTCTTTTTTGTAAAAAAAATAACAACTGAGTTTAGTGTGTTATATTTTCATTTATCTTTGTCTAAATTAATTGGTCATATAAATCTGCGATGTGAAAGCGGGTGGGGCATTACAATATTTATTTAAAACGAAATAATAAAAAATGCATATTAAGGATTTATATGAAAAAAAAAAGTAGTTAAATGTTGGTTTTTTGTCCGTGAAGATGTGTGTTTTCTGTACGCAAAGAGAGATAATTGTGTTTATTTTAACACCATGAGAATCTTTCCGTTTCTCGCGTTGTTGTCTACCTTGGTAAAACGTTACAAGGCATCAGACGCTTAGCCTTTAGTCTTGACATTATATTCTAAACGAGGTTTAGAACTAATTAATTGTATTGTAATTAAAAAAAAACAACACGAATTATCTTGGCAAAAATGTATTTTAATGCTCGTAATATATCCTACGTTCATGTTTAGGTCCCAAAGCCTCCATGGTAAATGACTTTGTGCGCATGTTGTGGGAGCAGAAGGTGGAGAAGTTGGTCATGTTAACTAATTTGACCGAAGAAGGAAAGGTAGATATTCTGTACTCTTTTTGTCTTGGTGATTAACGTAAGGCTATCTTTTTTCTTTCTTTTTTTTTCTCCTTTGCTTGGTTGTTTGAGGGCTAATATCTTTTTTATTTGCATTGTTCTTTCGTTTTCTTGTGTTTTTGATTAGCAGTGGATTATCCTTATTTTTTTTTATTGCCTTGTTGATTAGCAGTGGGCTATCCTTATTTATTTTATTGCCTTGTTGATTAGCATTTGGGTATACATTTTTTAAAGAATCACAAATGTAAGCATTAAAACATAAATTTTTAAAAGAATTGTCTCTAAGACTAAAGAAATACGAAGAAAATGTATTCATACGTTTGTTATCGTTCAAATGTGTACTCTGTTGAAGTATGTTTTATTGATTTTTATAATTTATTTCTTTAAAAAAAAAAAAAGAATTGTGTTGAAAAATGTAAAAAAAGACCTTGTCATCATCACATTCGCTACATATTAAAATGCCCGCCCATCGATGTATTTTATGATGTTTAAACACAACACCTTGCGTTTGTACATCAAGGTGCAGCGAAATTAATGTATTTGAATGCCACGCCTTTACCTGCAGATGAAATGTGAAAGGTACTGGCCAGAAGAGGGCAGTCGCATGTTTGGAAGGATCACAATCACATTAACAACAACTCAAATATTTGCTGACTACACAATTCGAAGACTGCAGCTCATCAAAGTAGGCAAAAATTTTTTTTAAAAAAATGTTATTTAAAATTATGAAGTGAACTGTAACGGACTATGTTCTCACATGAAAACAGAGAGGTAGCATGAGTGAACAGTGAATTGTGTTGACCATGTATTTTGAGATGCAAATGTGAACTCCACGTTTTTGGAGAGTAAAATTATGTTTTTGTCAGAGCGGTTGTTTTCCACGCTTTGCTGATAAAAAAGTATGAGTTGACTGAGATAAGGAGTCAGAGTTAGTCGGAGTTGAGTTAGAGTTGAGATGTAGTACAGTTGAGCTGAGTTATAGTAGTATGAGGACGTGTCTTTCTTAATGATGGAATACTATAGATATATATGTGAAATTACATTCATGCAAGGATTATTTATTATTATTATCAATATAAAGTGTGTTCAATAAAGTACTGTAAGTTTAACCAGGATTCAGTATTCTTATTTGCGTGCCCGGATTATAAGTGGAAGAATGAAGAAGCCTTAGTCGGCATCCTGAAATATCAACATAACATAAGTAACCATACTACTGACATAACCCACAGCATAAGAAATAAGCTCCCACGCCATGTCAGAGTAGGTGTGTTACAAATGGTGTCAGAAGCGGTGTAACGACGATGCGTTACAAATATTGTAAAGAAGTGTCAGAAATGTGTTACAGAACATTGAGTAACAACGATATATTTTAAAATTCGAGCGGAAGAATACAGCGAACGCCATTACGACCGTGTATCAATCAAGTCCGAGACGAGTTCACTACACACAGAGCTAGCCGACAATTGAGGTCAGTCACAGTCTCAAGAGTTCAGAGTTCAAAGCCAACTGGTACACGGCAACTAGCAGCATAAGGAAAATTTTCAAGTTATTTACAACTGTAGCAAAGATTTACTGTAAGCCTACATATTACAAGACCAACAGAAGTAGAAGTCTGACGTTATTACAGATGAGATGTGTGTATCAAGACATCGAAAGTAAGATTTCCCCAGCATAATCTTCACTTTATACAAGCCGCACAAAGCCTAGTGCGCATTTCAAGTAAAGTAATTCTTTAATTACTCACAAGTTCAACTGAATCGGAGAGAAAGTACACTATTTTCAATTGGATTATTACACTATTACTTCTATTACGCAAGGTACTTGCATTGGATTACTGAAGCAGTTTGTGTTGTAACTTTTTCATTGGATTATATAACTTTTGCATTGGAGTATTTACCCAAGTACACTTTCTACATAGAAGGATTATCGACTACACAGAGATCATAGCGTCACAGAGGAGCAGAGGTGACCAACTACAGATTTCTTTTGGACACTTTCACTTGGTATTTATGTATATTAATATTATGTGTTATGTATTGTATATAATTTAAGACTTTAAAAATCTACTTATATCATACTTAATTAGATTAAGTAAATTTTTTCTTTTTCTGTATAATATAAGTTTAATTTTAGAGTATACTGTAGGGACATCCACGGTGTTATCTTTCCTAGGGAAGTTTTTTTATTAAAACGGTAAAGGTTTCTTCTGGCCCTATTTATAACACTGTAGGATAATTTTGTGTTAGCTGTGAAGTCTAGTTTGTACATTGTCATAACTGTTGTTTTTTAGTAGATCTTGTCATATTTGTGCTATTTGTCTTGTCATTGTTATACATATTGTCAACCTACTGTCATATTTTCTACTATCTTGTGGTCCATAAACTAAACAGTACTTTTGTATTTGTTGTCTCATTTGTATTCATGTAAACGTCTACATATCTGTATTTATGTTGTGAAGTAGACAATTTAATTATTTTAAATTTTTCTTACACTTATTTATAACTTATAATTCATGTATCAACTTGCATTTGTGTATACATTCATTAACATGTAGATATATGAAATATCGTAAACTATTTTAATTGATAACCAAAGAATAAGGAGATAACTGATATACTGATACATAACAATATAATTTTAGTTACTCACATTACACATAAAAAATGGCAGAGTACTTGGAATTATTAGAAGTAGGTGAGAAGCTTGGCTTAAAGCAGGAGAAATTAGCTGACTTCGTAACTCGTGAGATGGACAAAATTAGGGACAAACAGAAAGAAGACAAAGACCGACAAGACAAAGACAAAGACCGACAAGACAAAGACAAAGACCGAGAAGCTAGAATGTTAGAGAGAAGCGACCTTAAACAAATAGAAGAACTAAAATTAAAAGGACAAAAGGAAATT